ATTATTATTTCTCAATGGGGAAGTGACACAACTTTTTTTTTTTTTTCTTCTAACAATTTTCTTGCTTCAGCAGTAGAGCTCAAGTTTTTTTCCTTCCTGCTGTTTGTTTTGTCTTCGTTAGGCTGATAGGATCTTACACATCTCTTCTTCAACTCTTAAAAAAGAAGTGGTAGCCATCCAATCTTTTGCTTTGGATCCACCAACCTACCTACCTCTTCTCTTTCCCCGTTACTCCTCTGACTTTCAGGACTGGAAAGGATGAAAGGAATTGACTGTGTTTACTATAGTTGTATATGTCAAATTAAGCTGCCAGTTAAATACTAAATTCGTTATTTACCATTCCATGAATTTTTTTTTCTACTTGTTGGGGAATGAAATAAAACTGCAAATTTATTTTCTCACCTAGGTCTCTGGACAAAATGGGGAATGGATCAGTGAAACCCAAGCATCTGAGGCGGCCAGATAGACACGTAGTAAACCTCTCAGTTGGCTGTACTGGCAACCATAAGTTTTTGAAGGACCCAGGTCTAGGCATCAATGTGATCAATGGGTGAGCTGATGTTCTTTGCAGCAAGGTGCTTGAACTGGAAAAGAATCTGAAGAGAAAAGATCAAGAGTTGCAGGAGGGTCAAAGTCGTGTTGCTGAGCTTCAGGAACAGCTGGCTATGCAGACTAAGGTCATAGCAGAACTCACCAAGGAATTTCAGAGCAAATGTATACAGTTGAACAAGCTGCAGGATGTTGTTAGCACTCAAGGAGAGCACTCTCTTCAGCTTTCTCCATTTAAAGTGGCTTCAAGGATTCAAGTCTCTGCCAATAGAAGGATAGGAGCCAAGGAAGGTGTATCTGCAGAGCCGACAACACAGCTGTATGATTTGAACAGGCAAGCTACGTTTTCCTTTGAAAAAGCAAGAATCCAAAAGGATTCCAGGTGAGCTCATTTCAGGGGGATTAAATGCTTGTGTTACAAGGATATTACTTTTATCACAATGATATCCTCTTCTCATAATAAATCAAGATTAAAGTATCCATCTTTTTTATATAGGCTTTGTCACTGTGTTAGATGCTAGTTGAGTTTGTGTGTAATTTTAACCAAGAATCATCTGTGTCCCACAGACTTCAGATGCAGAGTGGTGGGGAGCCTCTGTATTTTAGTTGAGGAGACTCTTTGGGATTTATCTTTACTGCCAGCTAAGCAGAACCTAAGCCCCTTCTCGGGTCTAGGTTTGTCTACTGCTTGCAGCTTAGGCTATACTCTGGAGCACTGATGAGTAGAAGGCTGGATGCCTTCACATGGGTTCAGATTCTTATTCCTATAGCATGGATGGCTTGGGAAGGAGCAGGTGGCCCCAGCTCAGCCCTCCCAAATGCAATACGGACACTACTGATTCTGAGCTGTGTACAAAGTTTGTAAGCCCAGTTTCAACTCAGTCTGGTGCAAAATATAATGAAATGTTTTGTATGGTGTGATTATCCTCTTAGCAGCTTCCTCCTGCCCTCCAGCTTCTGACAGTCATGGTGTAGGAACCTGATTGTACTTGTTCCTCTTTGAATCCAATTATACTTCTAGCCTCTGCCAGAGCCAGAAATATCTGTGGTCACAGCTGACCTTGTGGACAGAGGTATCAGACTAGTATCCTTAAACATACTTTAGACCCTCTTTTACCTTGCACTATAGACATAACCTGAATATCTGTCTTAACATGGTGGTAGCCAGAATCTATCTGAACTTCAGCCAGCAGCTTAAGTGCCTCAGATTTGTGGGGAGCTTTATTATTCTGTTAAGAATTCATGGTGCATTTGAGTCTGTACTGGAGTAGACCTGAGAGTTATCAGACTTGATTTCTCATCCATCATATCCAGCATTGCACATTAGAGGCTGTCTTGTGAACCAGAAAGGCTGCCTGAGTCACCATAAGGAGCCAAAATCTTTGGCTAGCTGTGTTTTTCCAGAGTAAGGGAACTTAATAACATTTTGTCACAAGTACCTGGGCAGTTTAAATAATTGTTTGTTTTAGGAAAGTTCTATTTGTAATTGCCTGTCTTCTCCTTGGCACGATCCTTGTACTGCAGTCCACCAGATAGTTTTCTAGGGTGCTTTCAGAGACAGAGTTGCAACTGATTCAAGAACCTGAGCCATGGTTATAATACTTATGTGACCTTTGCTCTGTGGCCAGCTGTACTTTCTGAAAACAGCATAGTCTCCTATTCTGTAGTTCTGGAAGCTTTAGTACTCACTTATGAGCTCAGTTTATGAGCCATTATGGTATTTTATTGCAGTATTGTATGCATGATGCAGGCCAGGGTGAATTAAATAAGCAAGGTTGTTTTTAGTAGAGATTATATTCTAATAACCCTATTGCTTTCAGCAGAAGCTAAGTTATGATCTCTATTTCTAAACACAATCCTCACCATAGCTACCTGATTTTATTTTTCTTGCCTCATTTCATTACCTTTACTTATTTTCAGTCATTATATGGCTAGTAACATTGTAGGTCTACTTACTTGCCTTAACTGATTGTTCATTCCTGGATTTTCCTCAGGAGATTTTCCCACATAACCTAGTTTTGATGATAACCTTGCATTGTTTTATGAATACAAGCAAGAGTGGGCCTTAAACGCCTCAGAAATCTGTTAGGGTGTTGTCTTGGTTTAACCCCAGCCAGCAACTAAGCACCACACAGCCACTCGCTCACTCCCCCACAGTGAGATGGGGGAGAGAATCAGAAGGGTAAAAGCAAGAAAACTCGTGGGTTGAGATAAAGACAGTTTAATAAGTAAAGCAAAAGCCACGCATGCAAGCAAAGCAAAACAAGGAATTCATTCACTACTTCCCATCGGCAGGCAGGTATTCAGCCATCTCCAGGACAGCAGGGCTCCATCATGCATAACAGTTACTTGGAAAGACAAAACGCCATCACTCCAAATGTACCCCCCTTCCATCTTCTTCGCCCAGCTTTGTATGCTGAGCATGACATCATATGGTGTGGAATATCCCTTTGGTCAGTTGGGGTCAGCTGTCCCATCTGTATCCCCTCCCAATTTCGTGTGCGCCCCCAGCCTACTCACTGGTGGGGTGGGGTGAGAAGCAGAAAAGGCCTTGACTCTGTGTAAGCACTGCTTAGCAATAATGAAAACATCCCTGTATTATCAACACTGTTTTCAGCACAAATCCAAAACATAGCCCCATACTAGCTACTATGAAGAAAATTAACTCTATCCCAGCCAAAACCGGCACAGGTGTTTATTTTGTTATGCACTTTCCTTACACATGCACATTAGGAACATGGGGACTTAAAGGCAGAATTTATCTTTCACTTCAGCAGTAAAGGAAAACCACTCAGTAGGTCCATAAAAGCTCCATCAGTGCAGCAGCAGTTGTTTAATTGCATTCATTTCTGGCTTGGGTTCAAGGCACTGCTTTATAGGAAGCCCTTACCCCAGAACATACACAAGTCAATCAGAACTCATAGATTGCCCAGTATGTACATACAGCCAGCTTTGTTTTGGTTGGTTAGTCATTATTAGTGGATTCATCCACTGTTGATTTTTCCACATTTTCTTCTTCTTAAAATCCAGCCACTGGGCTTTTCCACCAGCACCTCAAATAGACTGTTCTTGTCTTTACAACTTACCCATTTATATGTAGTTACTACTGCAGGAAATTATGCAGAGGCTCCCCATCTCAGGGAGCAGCAAGAACAGGGTTGCTCCACAAGAGTAAGTGAACAGGGGGTGACTACAGCACAGACAATCCCCTCACTAACCAGGGCACCATACCACAAGGTCTGCACAGGGTAGGCAGAGCAGGGTGGTGATAACAGGGTCCACCAGGAGTCCCACAGAAGAAGAGATCAATCAGATGCAAGCTTTAACCAAGAGACAGAAACAAAGTACTTACAGTATTGGGCCAATACCCATCCAGAAGACAAAACTGAAATAAATTATTTCTGTAACATAACTCAGGCAAGAATTGAATGCCCAGACCTGAGCTTAAATAGTGTATGCAGGCCAATGGGCAGAGGATGCATGGATGGTGGTCCCAAGTGAGGCTGATCAGTGTAGTTAAGGCCTATTACTGCCCTCAGGGCCCTGACAGGCTAGTCCTTGATCACTGATGTGCCTACTTTACCTGCCTTTTGTTTGACTTTTACGGATACCGTGAAGCTTTTCCAAAGACTTTAAACAAAACAACTCAGGATGGCTGTAGTTTGCTATAGCATCACCAAAGTGCAATATAATATAAGTTTATTTCCCTGAGTGCTGAATTTCAGAAAGCAAAGAGGTCAGCATTAATGGCTGCATACCTATATCTGCGAGCTCTTGTGTCATATTTTTACTTCTGATTATACCCTAAAAATTCCTAAAAGCAGTAGAGGAAAGGGCCTGCTTTGGGAAGATTCTTTCATATCTGTTCATTCTTAAGGAGACAGAGTATATTTGGCATCCCACATGAGCAGACTACTACAGGATTTTTAACTCAGGTAGTAGCATTTATGCTGTTTGTTGTAATCTGTGCAAAGGAAGCAGGCACAGCACAGGTAGGAAGAGTTTTGCAGGGAGGTGGATGGAGGGCAAAGGGCAGTGCGGAAGGGATCAGCACTAACCCTCCACCTCCACACACACCTCTCCTGGATCCTGGACTTATTTTGTGAATTTTGGGACAATGTTCAACAGGTACTCTGCAAGCTGACCTTGCAATCATGTCCTGATCATAAATTTGGTTAGTAGCTATGACCTGGGAATGCCACAGGATCAATGTTATTTTGCAGGTGCAAGGAAAATTCTTTGTAGTCATTTTTCAATCACATTCATTTACAACTTGTTTCTTTTTTCCCACCACCTATGTCTTCTAACATTCTCCTAAGAAACAGCAGCACCTTAATCGTGGTTTTGCGTACTTTTCTTTCCTTGCATTTTTCCTCACCACAAAGGAGAAACTCTTGATGAGGTCTTAGTACCATCAGTGTTGACTTTAACCTTATTACTATCATCGGTGTTATGTTTTTGCTGGATATTAGAAAAAATGTATTAGAATGTTAGAAAAGTGGACCTGATTTTATAACAAGTTGCCATTCCTGTATAGGCAGTGGTATGTGAAGACATACCCTTCACATTTCTTTCCTTCAGATAAGCAAGGCTATATACGTGCAATGGGGAAAGAATATGGTGAGAAACAGTGTGAAACTTTCTGGGGACTGTGTCTCCTGCTGGGAGCCTTTTTACATCTAACTTGATGCTTTCTGCAGGCAGGGTCACACAGGACGGGAGAGGGCATAGTGTGGCACAGCTAATGGGATGCATACTAATTGCAAGGATTGTAACATTTGTCAGTGGTACTGGTCATGTTAGAAATAAGAGGAAACATCTTGAGAGGAATGAATGCCTGGTGAATAATATAGCCCAACCATGCTGGATCTTTTAAACTTTGGTTTTTTTGTTTTAAACCAGTGAGAAGAAGCTTATCACAGATGCCCTGAATAAAAATCAGTTCTTGAAGAGGCTGGAGCCTCACCAGATCCGAGATATGGTGGAATGTATGTATGAAAGAACTTTCCAGCAAGGGAGCTACATCATCAGGCAGGGAGAGCCGGGCAATCACATTTTTGTGCTCAAAGGTGAATACTGCTTATTCGTACAATGCACAAGTGCAAGAAACGGGGAAGTAATTTAGAAGTCTTTGCAGGAAACCACAAAGATGATGTTTGTGCTCTTAAATCGTTTATGCTGGCCCTGCTAAGGGCAATGCAAGTTTTACCTGTGACTTTTATGAAACCGAGTGAGAGCAACAAAAAGTGCCTTAGAAACTTGAACATTAATTTAATGCTGTTTTGTGACATCTTTCATTTCTGAAAGTGTAGAGGCCAGTAAATCCTTTCTGTTGTAGGTTCAGCCAACCCTTTCTTCTCCAAAGGAAGAGCAGGTGTAATTTAAAATACAGAAAACTGCTCAATAGTGAAGCCACTTCTGAAATAAACTTACTTTTCAACATTCATAAGAGCTTATACCCATTTTCTGTGTATGGGAAATTGAGAGATGAGGTCTGAGTTTACTGTTCTCAAAGCTTATAGTTTTTTTTAAAAACAGCTGCTTGTTTTTTCTGGAAAAAAACCCGACAAAACAAAAACCAAGCTTTAGGATAAGAAAGCTTTCCTAAAATAATGCCAAGAGGTCTGAATTAATCTCACTGCAGTCATCTGTGCTGACTGCTACTGTGCTTTTACTCAAATCTCAAATTACGGATCAGCCATAGTAGAGCCCAAGTTAACACCTGAAAGTTGCTCTTAGCGGCAATACTCTCTTTCATCTTCTCACCATAAAAAAAAATTAGTGTTTGTGATTAATTTGCATACTTCATCAATATTGGACCGCTAGAAGGCCCAGAAGCTCATATGAAATAGAGTTCATGCTGTAAGGAGTATGTTCTGTTGAGGCAGGAATATTTAAGCCAGGAGCATACTGGTATAAAGCACATCCTCTGTCTTCTGTCTTCATATGGATGCGTTAGTTTGAAAAATTGATGGTGACTGTGTTAGGATAACATAGATGGTGCAGGGAGAAAGAGGAGGCAGGATTTGTAATGGGGTAGTCATATTCTTACTAGACAAAATGATAACATTTTGAAAAACAGATGAAATATGAGGAAGAAGTTGTGCACCTGGAAATTTTTCTGGCACATTAGACCTTTTATGAGGAGTCAGTGGGTGTCTTGGAGAGAAGAGGGCCAAACTTTCAGAACATGTTTAAGGGAAGGTTTTTTGGGGCCATAACCTGTGAAGAAATTCAGACTTTCTTTGACTTTTGCTAGGTTTGTAGTAAGGCTCAAAGGCAATTTCTTAAAGGAAGATTTAATATGCTTTTCGTTTTTCTGCCCTCTTCTTTGCATTCTGCACATATATACAATACACATATATACACATACACATGTACGAACAGACAAACGTCATGAGAATTTCTCCTGTGATCACTATTTTAAGACTTGTTTGTCTACACCACACTAGGCTATCTGAGCCAGTACTGACTGTTTTGTTGTAGCAAAGGTTTATCCCATCAGGATTTAGAATCACCCTTTTCCATGGCCTTTTTAGTGTTGAAAAGTTTCTCTCAGCTTTCCCTCCCTTCCAGAGGGATTTGTAGATTAGCAGTATGTTAAAAAAAAAAAAATCTCTACTGGGTTGTACCTGTGTTTCAAAGCAATGTTTGCATCGTTGCTCCCATTCCTGTGTTCCAGGGAGTGGCGAAGCCAGAAATATATTGTTTTGTTTTCCCTTCACTCTGTGCAGTTGAGCTCAGTTTTAATACCTGTCATCCTGATGATTTTTGACAGAAGGCAACCTGGAAGTCTTTCAGCAGAATAAACTACTCTCCTCAATACCTGTGTGGACGGCATTTGGTGAACTAGCCATTTTATACAACTGCACACGGACAGCCTCTGTGAAAGGTACCTAAGGTTCATTATAACAACGTTGCTCAAAATGAAAACTATGTACTTTTGTGAAGTACCTGTTATATCCAGATTTTCTTTGAAGTTTTCATTTAATAGATGTCTGCATGTCCTGATTATCTACAGTAAGCTCATGTTTCGTTCCTTGAGTTCTTTCTGCTTGAGAACTCTAATCATACTATGCCATGAATATAATTCCATCTCTAGCATGACCTTTGATAAACAATTAGGCATCTCCAAAGTATGCTGGTTAGCCAGATCTGTACCAAACTAACTGCTAAGGAAGTATCATGTTTCAATGTTGAATGATTTAGTAGGAGCGATGGTCTTTGGCTCTTATGTTCTTGTATCAAATGCAACCCTGAGGCTGAAATTACAGTGAGTTTGAAAAGATATTAGAATCATGGCGTTTTTAATAGAGCAGATAAAGCCTAATTCAAGAGGAAATAAATTATGTAGCAGTACTTGCTTTTGTACTTCTTTTAATTCTGAATCATTAAGTTACTGAGTCTTGCCAAGATCCATTTGCACCTAGCATTTGCAACTGACGCTTGGGAGAAGATGTGAGTTTGATCTCAAATGTGGTAGTGGGAGAGATAAAACTTCTAGGTGACATGTGCTGTTTCTCAGAGGGAAATACTGGCTCTTGCTTTGTGTTTACCGGCTGACCAAGATGGAGTTGTTAAGTGTTGCTCTGATACAAATATCCCTCTTCCTGCATAAGACTGGGTATTCATCCATTAAGTACCCCTTGATTCCTTTTCTAACCTGCCATAATTATTCTGTGACAGACCAGTAAGTGACCAAATATGATTAAAGTCATCATTTTTCCACTCTCCACCATTCCATAAATACTACTTGTGTTTGAAGGCTAATTTCTGTTCTTGTCTAAATCTGCAGGAACTTTGAACCACCAGTAAGTACGAAGAGTTCATGTTGACTTAAAAAGGAGCAAATGGAATAAAACAAGAAGTTGTTCGCTTTAAAAGCTTCTGGTCTTTCTTCATGCACCCAGTTTAAGCACTTAATCATTGCTGGCTGTGCAGATGGAAGTTATTACCTGTAATCTGTTTTTGTTGCTGCCTGATAAACAGAACAGCATAAATAATGTGATTGTTTTTCTTACTAGCACACTGTTCTGCTTGAATAAGTTCCCTATTTTTCTTTTTTGCCTGCTGTATAGTATTAGCGTTATAAAGTAGTGTTTCTGCATAGTGAGATGTCATGCTGCTTTAGACATTTGTAACATTAATTGGTTTTGAGGTAGGACAAGAATTGTCCAATTATGGGCAAGAAAGGGTGTTTGAATACTTAAAATCACTGCAGAAACCCACCCCTCCCCAATAGCTTTCCTGTGTTTTTGTTGTGGAGGAAGAGCAGTACAATGCCATAACTGAGCATGACTAGTAAATGCGTATGTGAAAACCCTTTCTTAATGCTGGATCTAGTGACACCCTTTACCTGCAGTCTTTGAAAACTGACAAGTGAAGGACTTTAGCCAGACAGCATTTCAACGGCTGCTGCTACCCAGCAGCATCTTTATATGCAATAGCTGTATTTGAAACTGGGAACGTGATTTACTCCTGTGTTTCTGAATTTCTCTTTCTCTATCTCATCTTTGAGATTACAGGCTTTTTTCTAGCTATATAGTTGCTTTATTTAGTTAAGGTGCAAGATACAGGAAATGCATTTGCTATAGCTTGGATACTTGCCATATTTTCTTCATGCAAAGCAAACTGAAAGATGTTATTTAGGACAAAAACAAAACCAAAGCAATACCTTTGTTCTCCCTTCCAGCATCCAAAAATATTTTTTGGGCTATTTTGATAAATGGCAGTTAAGAGCATATGTGTATATCAGGGTTAAGTACAAAGACGGATGACTGTGCATCATTTTAAACCTGGCATTTTTCTTTCCTGTAAAAATGATTCTATGTTTATGATATATTGAGGAAATCAATTGCTCTAATTTTTTCTGTAGCTTTGCTTTATCCCAGAGAAAACAGTTTTGTTCCGTCTTACGACAGAAAGAAAACTGCTGAATATGGTGTAGCATCTTTTAAAAGAAGAGATTAAATTAAATAGAATCATCTTATTTTGCTTAAAAAAAAAAAAAAGTGCAATGTGTTCTGTTGTGTCAATGATTGCACACAGAGGCCGCTTAGTGATTTGCATCTTTGATGCTGGATCTTATGCATGCTTACTGTATTAATATTTTGATTACCTTTCAAAAGATAATCATTAATGTTTTGCTTATCCTTTATTCTCTTATAAAAGGGCTACACTGGAGGAAAACTGTGTGAGGGTCACAGGATTAAATGAAATGAAATGTATTTCTTGACCTCTGTTTTTTCTATCTTATTGCGTATCTCACAACCATTTGCATGTAATCTGAATTAGAGAAGGATCCAAGCCATAGTATTCAACATTTACCTCATAAGTTTTGAAAAACTTCATCCAAGTTTTTGTTTCTTTCAAATCAGCTCCTTTGCAGATTACATTGCAGCTTTTGAGTGCAATGACTGTCCGTGTTTAGGAGTAGATCTTCACAAGCATTCAGCCCTGTTTGTGCTCATAGTAAATGTCTAGGTTTTCAAAGTTACTTAGCCTGTGAGTTGCATGGAAAGTGCACTGAGGAACCGTTTGGAAATCTATGCCTTACTTTAGTAAGCATTGTTTAAGTGGGTGCTGAATTCTTTTAAAAGTCTGATTGCAGTAGGTGCTGGATATTTTAAAAATTGGCCTTGGGCATTTTGAAAGAGCTAGTCTGTCTTGTACCATGACTGATACTGTAATACCTTTGATCAAATCATTTGGAAACGTTGTTGATTTTGTTGTTGGTTTTTGTTTTCTTAAAGCAATCACCAATGTTAAAACATGGGCATTGGACAGAGAAGTGTTTCAAAATATCATGAGAGTGACAGCACAAACAAGACAAGAACAATATAGAAACTTCCTTAGAAGGTAAATATAATGCATTTCTATTTCTAATACTAGTTTGGGCTACTTCCTAAGGTGCACAACAATACTGTGCCTGTCTTATAAAGCAAAAGAGGTGCTCTTAATGCAAAGGACCTCAAAAACCTGAATATTTATGTCTTGATTTTTAGGACTCACAAAATAATTTTTCTCATTTTGATTGTTTTTCTCCTGTATTACATTAGGAAACAGCAATAGGTGCTTGAATGCTTTTAAGTAATCATAGAACCATAGAACCATTAAGGTTGGAAAAGACCTCGAAGATCATCGAGTCCAACTGTCAACCCAACACCACCATGCCCGCTAAACCATGTTCCTAAGTGACACATCTACACGTCTTTTAAATACCTCCAGGGATAGTGACTCAACCACTTCCCTGGGCAGCCTGTTCCAATGCTTGACCATGGAACAAAGGTATAGGAAGGTTACATGGCTAGAAGTTAAAACAATATATTAAATAAATAAATAGAGTTAAAGAAATCCTCCTACTAGAATTTAATTTGCTGCTGGAGTAGATTAAGGAATATTCCTCATGCCTTGGAGACTTGAATATAAGAACTGCATGTCTCTCTTGGTTTATTAACTAATTCTAACATAAATTACTAGGAAATCTGCAGAGAGTAGAATAGTTCTCTCTCCTGCAGGGAACACTGAGAGTTGTACAGTCCATTTCCTTAGGAAGAAGGTCAAATTAGAAGTTCCAAACCATAATTAGCTGGTCTCATATTTTCTTTCTTTAACAAAGAATAACCATTCTGTTATGGCTTCAAATCGAGATCTCAAGCCTTGCCATGCATAGAATGTCTTGTGTATTTTTGCATCCATCTCCATCTTTGATTTCTATAAATAATTCTTTGCTGAGCCTGCGTAGCTAGAGAGCTCTGTGATTTCCTAACTTTTACAAGCCCGAGTGCTCAGGAAGGGAAGTTTTTTCATTCTTACCAGCAAGTTCACTAAATCATCACTGTAGTTGGATTCTCTTTTAATAGTTGTCCAAATAGTACTGAAGTTGTTACCTTTGTCTGATTTTGCAGTCTCTGCAGTGCATTTGAAAATATATTATTGTTACTATAATGTCTTGGTTTTGCAATTAACGGATTCTGTATAACTGAATTTTGAAATTAGTCCATGTGCCCACTAGAGTTTTTTCCCCTACTGAAATACAAAGTTGATTTACAAACTGACCAACATTTGCCACATTTCTAAGTCATAAGTTGTGCGAGTTCTGTTTATCTAAAAAACAAGATGAGAATGCTTGAACTTTCCAAATTAAGATTTAGTTGGATATTATGTGTTTTGTATAGCACCACCAGTTTAGCGAGTTATAAAATGTGGCTGTACAAATTGTATAGATGAGAAGAGATCATGAAAAAAGTGTTAGTGATAACTACTTTTGGTGGGTTTTTTCTGCATTTCTGTTTTCTGGAAGTGTGTCCCTGCTGAAAAACTTACCTGAAGATAAATTGACCAAGATCATGGACTGCCTGGAGGTGGTAAGATACTGTTAAGTTTTTCTAAATAGTATTCAGTAAGCTTTCAAAATAACAAAGAAGAATAAATAAGTAAAAACAAAACCAAAAAAACAACCAAGCTTTTTTTAATATGACGGTGTTTTTGGAGTGGTCAGAGTGGAATTCCAGATTGGCAGCAAATAATAACAATTAGTGGCATAAAAGTAAGTTATATCTTTGGCATCGAAGGAGTCAAGCAAGTAGATAAGAGGATTTATAATCTAGCCTTTATTAAGATTAAGCACAAAATTGCTGTCCAGGTCTCTGACTCTTTTTTGGTAATCATGCTTTACCTGTTTGCAACATGGATATGTAATACTTTCATATGCCTTGGACCACATACACTGCAAAATATAAGGGGAAAAAGGCCTAACAACTTCGACATATGAAACCAGCCAAATATGTCTGTGCTATGGGCTGCATCTGCCAGCAGCCTTTGGATGTTAAGGCTTGATATATAGTCATAGCTGTGATGTTTTCCAAGAGCAGTGGTAACTCTTAATGCTTTTTGTATAGGGAAAGTCTTAGGAAACCCAGTCTTGCAACAGTTCTGCAGATGGAGAACAAGAATTCCTCGGAAAACTAAGAGCCTCAGTCCCAACGAGTCAGAGGAGGCACATAGAGTGATGCATGGCCATAGTACAAGGGGATGAGGAGATCATGGTGTTGATTATGTGAGACAGCAAATGGTCTTAGCACAGCAGTATCCTAAGCAGTGACTTTTTTTTTTGTGGGATTCCTGGCAAGGGAGAACTTTTAGGAAACACTTGGAGGACAAAAAAATGAGGTGGTTGTTTATGAGGAACAGATCACAAAGCTGAAAGTTAACATGAAAAAAATGCTTGATTGAAAGTTAAACAATCAGGTAATGAAGGCGGGGCCCCTTAGCAGAGACAGAAGAGTTGGTGCTTTGGTAGCTTGCAATAGATAATTTAGGCATTCCCACTGAAATGTCAAGCCCAAAATTACTTTTGGAAATGGGATTTTGATTTAGAACTCTTTTAAGAGCTTTTGATATTTTTTTTTTCCTCGTTTTCCTCTACTTCATAAGGATGATACCAGTGTTAATATTTTTTTAAACAAATAATAAACAAATAACATTAAGATATGTTACAGATTGGCCACCATGCTTTGTGTAGTGGAATGCTTGCATATTATTATGGGATGCAACATATGCAGGAGATAGGAAGTTAATCATCAATGGAACATCAGATGTATTAAGAACTCTGCATAATAATCAGAATTTTCAAAAAGGCTAATGATATATTGGACAATATTGTCTCTCTCTTCCCCCCCAACAGGAGTACTATGACAAGGGAGATTATGTTATTCGGGAAGGAGAAGAAGGAAATACCTTCTTTATAATAGCAAAAGGAAAGGTAAGATATAATAAACCTAACTTATGAAGTAACATATACAAACACCTGTATTTCAAAAGCTACCTCGAGGGCTGTGGTCTTCAGTAAAATCTGTGCAGAGAGTTTTTGAGGATTCTATTAAGTTTCCAGGACGTGTCTGTGTCTGGAGATATTCTGGTTTGGTTTTTTGCTAAAGGGTGTGGGCATCAGCAGAATATGTGGAAGCGGAGTCTCATGAGGGGGAAAATGTTAGTTAGTATTTCTGGAGACTATCTGTTAAGATGAGAAGACAAAAAGCTCATATGATGCCTGCCCACTGTGGGAACTGAAGTATTTTTCAGCTTTTCATTAAAATGTGATTTATTTTGCTCTGTTTTAAAAGGTATAAGGAGAAAATGTTGGGGTGTGGACAATTATTAATATATTCATTTTTCCATCTCTCAGCAAAAATCAGAGAGGTGTCAGGCAATGTTTGATGGTTTTAATTTTTGAGAAGAGGGAGTAACTATATATATTTGTAACTTTCTGCAGCATTACTGAGTTTAAAACATTTATGAAACACACAGAAAAGAAGGAGAAACCATGCAATACTTTGAAACTTACCTTGCTAAATTTTTGTTCCTGTACTTTCCAGGTGATAGTTACCCAGAGTACTGCAGATCACTCACAGCCTCAGCTGATTAAAAATCTACATAAAGGAGATTACTTTGGAGAAAAGGCTCTCATTAGGTTAGTTCACGTTGTCTGATTCAGGATGTATAGTATTTCAATTGACCTATCACTGTGTCAGATTCTACAACTATGGCTGTTTTGAATATAATCTTTGTTTTGATTGTAAAGTCAGCAGATGAAGGCAATGGCTGAATTTGTCTTAATGTTTTGGTTTTTAGAGAGACAACTTGAAAGTATACACTGTCATCTGCCTTCAGTTTTCCCTGAAAAAGTCAAATGCGGGCCCTCTCTGCATTGTTGCTTATTGTTTATATTTCAGTAAAAGCTGTGATGAAAACTTGTGCCAGACTCTATATGACTCCTAGCATGGATAAGTTCCATTGTTACTGGACTGAGCTGTTGTTTCTGTGCCGGTGCCCGTGATAGTAAGAGACAGAGAAAAGGAGTACAGAGAAGATAGGACCTATTAGCCAAATAGCTCATACAGCACATATTTGTATGGGTGATTGAGTAGGGATTATTTGGTCTCTGGGATGTTTTATATCTGAGGATCATTTCAGAAATGAGTAGTAAGTCCTGATGTAATGCTAATTACATCTCACCTGATTTCTTGGAAGGTTGCTAAAGGAAGTCATGATCCAAACCCTATTGAAATTGGAAAAAATACTGTGCTAGATGATAATAATGACTAGTAAAATGCTGTAATTGTGGTTTTGGTTCAGCAATATTAATCCAGATGCAGGCTGCAAAGGCCTTCGAGGACTTTCATTTATAGCAGCTGTGACCCTCCATGAGTACAGTGTGAGGTACTTTGAGGATTTTAATATGCTTATGAATTCTTCTAATCTGTTTCAATTCTTAGTGATGATGTCAGATCAGCGAACGTTATTGCAGATGAAAACAATGTGGAGTGCCTTGTTATAGATAGAGAGTAAGTATCATGCTACAGTTTAATGAAAGTCTTGCATCCTCTTTCAGTGGGTTAACAATAAGATGTGACTTCACTGTAGGCACAATCACAATGTTTTCTTAAGTGAATACCGAACGAGTGGTTATGCTTTTGGAATACTGAGCTGTGGCTATGCTTTAGACAAAGACCTAATGAAGAGAGGCTGACAGAAGGTGCAGGAGCACAGAAGCTTAAGAGTAGTTCAGAGTTTCTCTTTTCTTTCTCTCCTTGTGGTGGTGATGTTTCACATTTGTTAAGTGCTATTCATTGGCTCAGGGAACAACAAAAGCCCCTGCGTGTCCCTGGTTTCAGGATGTCCTTTTGTCGAGCGGGACATGCAGCCAAATTCCTGGTTTTGCCAGGTAGAAGCCAATTTTACACTTCCTAAAGTGGAAAAAAATGGAACAGATGGCGGATATAAGAAAGGAAGCTCCCAGTGGAAAGCGAAACAACAAACCTGCATTTCTCAGGGGTAGCTGTAAGGATGCTTACTTGGAATGTGGACAGCCACCATCCTTTTCCTCGCTGAATCCCAAAAGGGCTCTTACTGAGGGCTAAGATTCTACCCCAGCCCAGGAGATGGCATCTTGGGCTGTGAATGCATTTTCCTCTTCTCTTCTTTAGCTTGTTTAAACAGGTTGAAGAGAAGCATGCCAAAGCTGGTGCATTCTAGGGGAAGGGGATACCAAAAGGATTGCAGTAGGTAAACCAAGGGTTGGCATGGCATCACCAGAGGGTGGCAATACTAGTGGGAACATTGACACTGCTCCTGGGAGCACGGAGGGCTCAGGAGCATATCTAAAATGCTTGTACACCAACGCACGCAGTATGAGAAACAAACAGGATGAACTGGAAGCGTTGGTCAGCTCCCAGAACTACGATATCATTGGTATTAGTGAGACCTGGTGGAATGAGTCCCACAGTTGGAATGCTGGGATGGAGGGCTACAGGCTGTTCAGGAGGGATAGGCAGGGCAGGAGAGGTGGAGGTGTCGCACTATACGTAAAGGAAAGGTTTGATTGTACAGCCCTTACAGTTAGTGATGATGTGGTTGAGAGCCTCTGGGTGAGTATTAGGGGGATGGAAAACAAAGGAGATGTTGTAGTGGGTGCAAATCACCCAGCCAGGATGTAAGCACTGATGAGTTATTCTATAGGCAATTAGGAGAAATTTCTGAATTGGTAGCCCTTGTCCTTATGGGACATTTGAACTTCCCAGACATCAACTGGGAATATCATACTGGTGTGATGAGCCGGTCTTGGAAATTCTTGAAGTTTGTACGAGATAACTTCTTGTCACAGGTATTCAGTGAGCCAACTAGGAAGAATGCCCTCCCAGACTTGCTATTCGTGACTAGAGAAGGATTCGTGGGGCATGCGATGGTAGGTGGCTGTCTTGGTCACAATG